AGCACTAGATCCTTCCTACCTCTCTGCAATGTTGTGCTCATTGACCACCCTCTTCCCGTCTCCCTTCCCCATTTGGTTTTGACTGTAGAAACTTGACATAATCTTCGCAGCATTTGCTCTTTCAGCCACAGGTTAAACTTGAGAGCCATGATGTTGGAGCAGTGGAAACTTGTGTCACATTCCAGTGAATTGGTCTAGGAGTGAACACCTAATCCAAGCTGGATTTTGGACTTGGGACCACAAGGAACTTTACATTATCTATGTAATGGTGTAAGCTGTAAAGTATCAGCATGGAACCATGGCAGCCACGCTTCCCATGCAGAAAACTAATCTGCAGTGAGATACAATGACTATGACAGCAAGAGAGAAGATAGTGGAGAGAAAGACCTAGAAGCATTTAAATACCTGGTTGTTCTTGAGACCCACGTGTCTCCCTGATCTTACTGAAACTTGGTGAGTGTGAAGGTTGAAATTTACATTTGAGACTCAAGAGGTATGTAGATGACCTGTAATTCAGGTCCTAAACCATATAAAAGAGTTCAGACTTTATCTTGAGAGCAATGGGAAAAAATTCAAAAATTTTAAGCAGAGAAATGACAATTACTTTGGTATTTTGGAAAGCTCACATTGGGTACACTGTGAAAAAGAGATTGGGGTGGTAGTTTGGAGGGTAAAACTCATGTTAAGACTTGTTTTGAGATTGTAGTAATCCACGGGAGAAATTATAGCAGCCAGGATGTGGAAATGTCATGTGTCAAAAAAACACTAATAGTAAACGAGAGGAATCAACAGGTCATATAACAGTAGTTATAAACAACTGGAAAGATACAAACATGAGTTCAGGTCCATCACTGGATTGGACTGTCTTAATCCATTCAGGCTGCTATAACAAAATGCCATAGCATGAGTAGCTTATAAACAACAGAAATTTATTTCTCACAGTTTTGGAGGCTGGGAAGCCTAAGATCAGGGTGACAGCATGGTAGGATTCTGGTAAGGGCCTTCTCCAGGTTGCAGACAGCTGGCTTCTTGCTGGGTCCTCACATGGCAGAAGGAGCCAGTAAAATCCTTTGGGCCTTTTTTGTAAGGACACTAATCCCATTTATAAGGGCTCCCCCTCAGGATCTAATCACCTCCAAAAGGCCCCACTTTCTCAAGCCATCACCTTGTTGGTGGTTAGGATTTCAACATGTGAATTTGGGCAAACATAAACATTCAGACCATAGCATGGAAGGTCAAGAGTTCAGATGCTGTATTGGCCAGCCAACCAAGAACAAACAAACAGACCATAGCACGGATCTTGGAAATTGGAGCTAAATGATGAAGCTGGCTTTGGCACTGCTGTTTGAGGGACTGGCTGCCTCTATTAAGAGCCTGCTGTGAACCCAAGTCAGTTGCAGTAGGCCTTCCCAGTCTCTTTCTTCTTGATCCTACTTTGCTTACGTTGCTGGAAACCAAGTAGGTTTCCAGACCAAAGCAAACGAAGGTGGGGGTTGAGGGTTACGGGAAGAGAAAGGAAAGTATTTAATCAATACTACTGATTACTATAATAATTTATAAGAATAATAACTCATAGTGTTTTAATAATTTAAAAGAGCAGTTAGGGAAGCACGTATTTTGTAGAGGAAACATCATGTATTAACATTATTACTTAACCAGTGGGAAGATAACAATTAAACCTAGATTAATGGAGCTTTCAAAGGAGACTGTAAAAGGAAGAAAAGCAGGGATGGTGGGTAGGATCTGAGACTTGTGGTGTGCCTACAGCAACAAGAAAATATGGAGGGAAGGAAACCTGGGACCATAATCGTGGTGGCTACAAAGCCTCACTGTCTCAGGTAAGACTCCTGCGACTCTGCCCAGAACAAACATACCCGAGCCCTTTCATATTGATGAAACAGTTAATCGAGAAGGCAATAAGAAAACAGAAGAGCCAGAACAAATTTCTTGAACTTTGCTCAAAAGAGCCTTGAAAATAGAACTTCTTCCAGGACATTCTATCGAAACTATCATAATTATGGCCTTCTATCTGAATTTAAGCAGAGCTGGTCATTCTCAATAAATTATGATAACTACGACATTTAGGTTCTCTCTGTGTGTGTGTGTGTGTGTGTGTGTGTGTGAGTATGAGAGTTTTTATGATTTATGCATCTTATGAAAGACAACTGTGACCATTGTCTTAAACTGTCTCTTCTAAGGACTCTCAATCTAGACAGAATACTATTTCTTTTTTAACTTAACAATAGGAGCATTTTAATTTGTTACAGTAAAATGTCACGTTACAGAAAAACATTGTCATCTTCTTATCAGAAGTTAGCTATGGTAAAATGCATAGGGAAAAAAAAAAACCAAAAAACAAGGAAGTTATTTATAACTATTCATTTCCGAAAGTAGACTTTCATAATCTATGAGGCAATCTGAACTGTCACCTTCTTATTTCTAAATTAGGGGTGAGAAGTAGAAAGGGGAAGCATACTCAATCGGTGGAATCTCAGATCTTCAAGCAGGACAGCATTCGTTTCCTATCACCATGCCCTTCCCAGTACTTGCCACAATGGTGATTCATGCATTTTTGTTGAATTATTGTAAAACACATGTGTGTATTATTCATTCATATATAGTCAATGCCAAGTACATAGGAACAAAGCTGACCCTTCTGACAATGTAATTTTCTCTGATAAATATTTAAAAATACTTGCTAAAATATTTGGTGATTGTAGTTAAAAATTGTATATACCAACATTACTGAGTCTTAACTGCCATATACCACATACTGTGCTACATGCTTTAGGTACCATGTCTGATTTAAACCCCACAAGGATTTGAATGGATTAATGGGTTGGATGGGTAACTAACCCCAACTCAAACGGACAAGTTTAGTATGGCAGTTACTTGCTTAGGCTCTGGAAACAGACAAACCTATTTTCAAAACAAACAAACAAACAAACAAACAACCCCCCAGAAACCTGGTTCTACTATTTACTCTATAAATAATTTGTTTGACCTCTAGTCTTGGTTTCTACATTGGTAAAGGAAATAATAGTACCAACACTGGTCAGTCATTATGGAATTTAAATCAGACATGGTACATAAAGCATGTAGCACAGTAGGCGATAATGTTGCTATATACAATTTTTAACTGCAACCCCGATTGAAACTTTGTATTCTCCAAATATTGAGTGGCTCATGAAAACAAAAACAAAAACAAGGAGCAAAGTAAGCAGTGATTTCCAAGCTGGGTTTTGCTGAACTCTCAGAGATTCTGTCTGATGCCAATTTCATTTTGCTAAAAATAGTCACTTTGGGAAGGAGGAAGATGCAGAGTGAGTGGGAGTCAGGTTCCCCATCCCTTTTCAACCAGAGTTTCTTTGCTCTGACTTGTCTTATAAATTGGAGGTTTTTTTGAAGATTTAATAAAAATTCCTCTAAAAGAAAGTTTGAAACGATTATACTACACCACATTGCCTTTCCTCATCTGTTTTAGCTCTTAATGCCAAGAATTGGTTGTACAGCTATTAAGAAACCTAGGTTTACTCCTTGTCAGTAATTGGCCGGGTTGCTTTGAGCAAATTACCTAACTTCTCTATTCTCAGCTCCCGAATCCATAAAATGTATAGTTTGGAAAAAATAATGTCTAAGGTTCCTGTGTTCCTGTTAGTTTTAATTCTAGAGGTCAACAGGACTCATATAGAAGAATTGATTTCAATAGCTTGATGAATTAAAACCATATCAATCCAATAATCATTTAATAGCAATAACCAGGTGCACAATATGTACACAAATAAATACATGTTGAATATGAAAAGAATGAGTAAAAGACTTAATTGTTGTTTAAAATGAACCGTTGCATTGACTGAGCCCTGGTGGGTCCATGCTTTGCTTCAGTGGTCTGTGACAGATTATGATAATGCTCTTTTACTAGCTGAGTCTTCTGGGAAAGTGAAAAAAGAATTATTAAGTACAGTAAACCCCAAGTGATTAGGATCAGGAGTTCTGGGTGTTTTGCTCTTCTATTGATCAATAGAACAAAACGCATATGGTTTGTATGAATTCAATTAATCAACCAGTCCTAGCATTTATATCTCCCTCGCATATCTCAAATCTATCTCTATTCTTCCCTCCTTCCACAGTAGGGCAGGCCACCGTTCTCTGCACTCATCCTACAATAGCCTTCTTGGGGGTCTCCCTACTTCCACTCTTGTTACCTCCAATCTGTCCTAAACAGGTGTCCATTGTTCTGTCACTGGAGACTACATGTTTCTTTCAGGACATTATCACACATTGGTTGTATAGGTATGTAGTTATTTTCTGTTTCTCTCTAGACTGTGAGCCTCAGAGGACAAAGACTTTTCTTACTCACCATTCTAGTCCATTCCCACTCCCTACTCAGTGCCTAAAACATAGAAGTCTTTCCACAAAGCAATGAATGAATGCATGTGAATTCTCAAAGGCACAGAGACCATGTCTTAATTCACTTTTGTGTGATCAGCACCAGGTCCCCGTCCCCAACCCCCCGGAGTTTGGGGGTGGCTGGCAACACAGACCGGTAAACTAAGAAGCTAAGTCCCACACCTTTTATTCAGCTGGTGCACGATTCCCATTCCTAAAGGGTTCGGAGGAAGGGGTGGGTTTAAGAGCGGATGCTGAAGCCAAGCGCACAGGGATCGATCAGCCGAACAATGGTCAGATCCCCGTGGAGATTCCAAGTCCCTGGACAGGAGGCAGGAGCCCAGGCTGCCCGGCTCGGGACCCGCAGCCAGCTGACCCCTCTCGCAATCCCTTGTGCCCTAACGCGGCAGCTGCTCCGGGGCCCGGGCGCTCGGGGCCAGCAACTAAGCCTGGCACGCGTGATTGACAGCCCCCCCAGCGCCCCCGCGCGCCCTCCCACCCAAGGCGAAGTCCAGTCCCCGCCCGCTCCTCCCCGCCCCGCAGGTGTCCGGCGCGGGACCGGAATCCAGCCACTCACTTGCCGCAGGCGCCGCGGAGCAGCGAGGGTCCTCGTCCCGGCCGAGCCATGAAGGTCGAGTTTGCACCGCTCAACATCCCGCTGGCGCGGCGGCTGCAGACGGCGGCGGTGCTGCAGTGGGTCCTGTCCTTCCTGCTGCTCGGTAAGGACCCCGCCCCGGATCACCACGGAGATCAGGCAAGACGCCGCGGTGCCTGGACTCCCAGTCCTCCCTCCCAGACAGTCCCCAGCCGTGCTCTGCGCCTTCCGACCCTTGCTCCCGGGTCAGCCAGAGCAGGCAGGTCAAAGAGGGCGTGTGGCGCTAACGTGGGGCTCTCCTCCTTGGTTTCTTTCCCCTACCAGATCCTCGTAGCAAAAACTGTTTACCAACTTTATTTTCCCCTGTGCTATTTTTAAAAATCGAGGTGGACCTTACTTACAATAAAAGACACAGACTATAAATATACACCTCGATGAGTTTTGACAGCGATATCCACCCAAATGTAACCACGACCCAAACCAACTGCAGAGCATTGCATTTTAACCCCTCAAAAGTTGATAAACTCGTTTCTCGAACTGTCGATTCATAAATGGAAACATAATGCTGAAGTATTTAAAACCTGATACCTTTATCTCCCCACGCGCATAACAAATAGTCGTGTTAATTTTTCCGTGTTTAAGCTCTCCCGGATGCAGAGAAGTCCACACCGCACGTTGGGTTGGGTCGGGTTGAGTGTCTTGTATCTGCGAATAATTCGACCCGGGGGTGTGTTCTAGCAGATGGCCAAGTTAAACCCATGCAGAAACGCACACGAGCTGAATCCCTAGATGGAGCAGGCAGGCTTACCTGAGTGCTTTTTCTTCATGTTTGTTCTGCTCTTGGAATGAATGGGGGATGATATGGGAATTAGTAAGAAAACCTTGCATGGGAACTAAAAGTCTTGTGAAGGCTAAAATAATCTATATGTTGTAAGACCATGGATTGTACACTGTTGGGGCTGTAATAGTAATAAAGTCACTGCGTTGTAAAGTTTTACACTTTTGAAACGGTTTAGGCATGTTGCATGCTAAATCAGCGTTTCTTAACCCTGGCTGCACATGACAGTCACTGGAGTCACTTCTAAATAATACAGATACCCAGGCTCCATGACTCAAATTTCTAATTCATTTGTTTGGGAATGGAACCCGTGCATCAGGAATTTTTTTTTTTAACTTTCCAAGTGACTCTAGTGTGCAACTAGGGCTTATGGAAAAAGGTAAGTCATTAATTCATTAAGTCCTCACAGGCCAAACGGTGAGGCAGGGTTAACATTACACTCCATTTTGCTATGGACCAAAGGGCCATCATAATAACAGCCAACCTTTCCAGCGCTTAGTATGTGAAAGGTGCTGTTCTCAGCACTATTAACCATATAATCCTCACAACAACCCTAGTGGGCAAAGACTATTCCTGCACCTACTGTACAGATGAGAAAACTAAGAGGTGAAGTAAATTGCTCAAGGTTACACAGCTCTTCGGTGGAAGAGCTGGAAGCAAACCTCAGTATTTTGCCCAAAGTCCCTGCTTTAACCACTATATGCTGCCTACTTTAATGACTTGAACTTGAAGTCTAACTTTCTAACTGATTATTCAGCACATCTCTAACAGCCTACTATCCTCTTCTGTCATGTTACTTATCGTTGCTCGTATTTGTGATGTCTGTGTTTATTTGGGGAAGGTCTGTATTGCCGTCCTACTCTACAAGCTCAGTGAGGAAGCACGCAGCAAGTGCCTGGCCCCTGGAAGATACATAAGAAATATTTGTAGTATGACTGTTTTGCTCTCTCACCCAGAAGAGGAGCTATCCACCCCATGTCCCCATGAGTATTGCTCATGTTACCCTCACAGGAACTGCCTCTGTCCTCATTTTACAAATAAGAGAACTAGGAGGTGAAGTAAATTTCTCAAGATCATATGGCTCAGTAGTGGACTGGTGAGCCACATATACCACATGTGATTGGATCAGTGATTAGGTCATGGTAAGTGCTCAGTAAGCCATGCCTAATTTGAATAGAACTATAGTAGCTCCCCAGGCAATTCATTTAAATGTTTTTAGTTCATACATTTGACATTTTTGTTACTGGGAGCATACTATTTTGTTATTACATCTTTTGGTAATTATATTACGGAAAATTATAAACACACAGAAAAGTAGAAAGAAGGATATAAATTCCCATATACCCATTACTTAGGTTTGTGATTATTTAGTAATTTTTTCTTCTATTTGTTTTATCCATTATTTTGCAAAAATATTGCTTCTTTTTTTTTTGGTAGCTAGCCACTAGGGAGATCTGAACTCTTCTTGACTTCGGTGTTACCAGCACCATGCTCTCCCAAGTCAGCTAAGCAGCTAGCCCCTTAGTATGCATATTTTAAAAGTAAGTATTTTGTACATAACTGTAGTGCCATTGTCACACCTAGCATAATTAACAAAACTTGCTTTAAATCATCTAAACCAAGTTCATATTCAGATATCCTAAATTGTGCCAAAAATACACCTTTACTGACAATTTGTTTGAACTTGGATTCGAACAAGATCCTTGTGTTGCATTTGTTTTTTATGTGTCTTATTTAGAACAGTGCTCCCCCATTTGTTTTCTTGTCAATGAAGCATTGAAAAAGGCCTGGCATGTGTTCTGCAGGATTTCTCACCTTGTGGATTTGTCTGATTGTTTCTTTGTCGTGTTAACTTGTTCCTCTGTTCCCTGTATTTCTTTTAAAATGGAAGTTAGACTTGTTTAGGGTTAGATGAAACTTTTTTGGCAAGACTTCCACCTAGCAACTGCTGTGTGCTTCATACTGTATTGCATCAGGATGCACCCGATGTCTGGTTATCTCATTATTAGTGTCTAAGATTAGTCAGTGGGTCCAGAAAGGAAGTAACCTGAGGGGTGATAAGTGGCATGCTGCAAACAAACATTTCTCATTGATCACTGATCTTTACCTAGTGATTGAAGTCATGATTCTTGCCTGAATTGTTTTATTTGAGACTGCAGAGTGGTAGTTTGCTGATTCTATCATACATTCTTCATTTATTAGCTAGAATTTCTGCAAGAAAAAAATTTTTCTCATCATCTAGGGCCATTTGACTACTCTACAATTTAATTCTTACAGGAAAGGAGGGTAAACGCTAACTTCTTTCCATTTGATTATCAATTTTTAAGTAAGGAGTTGATGTAATAGTTACTTCCAGGGATAACAAGTCAGGTTTTAATAATGATATATTTTGAGATATCTAAACCAAAATCCAAGAATACAGTTTTCTTTCCACCACCAGAAAGTCAGTTTAAAGTGAGTATTTGGCATATATTAAAAAATAGCAAAATGTTTCATTTAGTCATGAAATCAAACACTGTTTCCTTGAGATAAATATTAAGTACCTGTCATCCAATCTTTTTTTTTTTTTTTTTGTCCTTTTTTTTTTTTTTGAGACCGGCCGCACGGCGCCCAGCCAGTGAGTGCACCGGCCATCCCTATATAGGATCCGAACCTGTGGCGGGAGCACTACTTCGCTCCCAGCGTCGCACTCTCCCGAGTGCGCCACGGGCTCGGCCCAATCTTAATATTCAAGAAACCGAAACATTACTTACTAGTTTATGTACCACTAAATTGCTAACTGAAAAGTAGAAAACTGAAAAAGAGAGCGCCAACATTTATCGACCATCTTCTACCTATAATCGTATGGCATTATTAATATTTTGGCGTATTCCTTTCCTCCTATTTACTTATTTTTATTTATTTTTATCCAAATAATATATGCACCTGAGAACAAATCAGATAACATAATGGACTGAGCCATTTATTTTATTTTTTTATTTTTATTTTTAAAGAGATCTTAACCCTTGACTTGGTGTTGTCAGCACCATGCTCTCCCAAGTGAGCTAACCGGCCATCCATATATAGGGATCTGAACCTGTGGCCTTGGGATTAGCAGCACCGCACTCTCCCAAGTGAGCTAACCGGCCATCCATATATAGGGATCTGAACCTGTGGCCTTGGGATTAGCAGCACCGCACTCTCCCAAGTGAGCCACAGGTGGCCGTATGAGCTGAGCCATTTAAAACTGGTGTTTTTAAATGTCTCAAGTAGTCAATGGCTACCAACTAATGACTAACAACTAATAACTAACATTTATTGAACATTTCCTATAAGCCTTAATTGTTCTAAAGGCTTTCTGTGTATTAAATTATTTATGTTTCACTAACCAATTATTTTTCCATATTATGCACACTACAGTCTTAAATTCTTTTAAGACTATTTTTAGAGCAGTTTTAGGTTCACACAAAATTAAAAGGAAGGTACAGGTATAACCCCTATACCCCTACCCCCACAAATCCACAACCCTCCCGTTATCAACATCCCCTGTCAGAGGGGTATATTTGTTACAATTATTGAATCTACATGGACACATCGTTATCACCCAAAGTCCATAGTGTACATTAGGGTTCACTCTCGGTGTTGCACATTCTATGGGTTTCAACAGATGTATGAGGACATATGTCCATCATTATAGTATCATAGAGTATATTCACTGCCCTGAAAATCCTCTGTGTTTTACCTATTTGTCTCTCCCTCCCCTCAACCTCTGGCAATCACTGATCTTTTTATGATCTCCATAGTTTTGCCTTTTCTAGAATGTCTTATACTTGGAATCATACAGTATGTAGCATTTTCAGATTGGCTTCTTTCACTTAGTAATATGCATTTAAGTTTTTTCCACATGTTTTCTTGGCTTGATAGCTCATTTCTTTTTAGGGCTGAATAAAATCCCATTGTCTGGATGTACCACAGTTTGTTTATCCATTCACCTACTGAAGGACTTCTTGGTTACTTCCAAGTTTGGGCAATTATGAATAAAACTGCTATAAATATTCATGTGCAGGTTTTTGTATGGACATAAATTTTTACCGCCCTTGGTTAAATACCAAGGAGTGCAATTGCTGGATTATATGGTAAAAGTAAGTTTAGTTTTGTAAGAAACCGACAAACTGTTTTTCAAAGTAGCTGTACCATTTTGCATTCCCGCCAGCAATGTATGAGTTCTTGTTGCTCCACATCCTTGCCAGCGTTTGGCAGTGTCCATCAGTGTTCTGGATTTTTGCCGTTCTAATAGGTGGGGAGTA